ATATTGTCAGCCGGCGGGAGTACGAAAGTTCGTTTGAAAAATCAACCGATACGGCCGCGTACAGTCACTATGTAGTATGTAAACGCGTGTATCGTACATCTTTACGAATTATACATGCGTGCGCGTATTGTAAAGTTGCCGTTGGCGTGACGCGTGCATGCGCCAAGATTTGAAGCACACATCTGTTGCACGTACGCGTGTTGTATATATGCACGGGTAAACTGCGCACGCCACCTATACAACTACTATTCCTCTCTGCTCTCTCATCGAGACGCCAAGGAGAGCCTTGCGTGTGCAAGTAACGAAAACACCATATTATATATCTGCCGAGCAAAGCGCGCCACTACCCTCAAACCACCCTCAAACTCTATGTGGACAAAAAAATATTCAACCGAAGGATTTTCAAAATAACAAAACAATATAAAAAACCCCGGACAAACTAATTTTACGAGTCAATTTTGTTGCTAACAGTGCAATAAATAAAGAGCCCGTAAAAAAATATAAATTGCTCCTAATGTTCCTCAATCGGATAAGAATAACAAAAGTATGAGGTAATAGTATCACTTTAAAATACAGATATTACATATTTGAAACTAAAAATAATCCATGAGTCAAGAAATTAGTGAGCGATATAGTTTTGTAAAATTTACTAACATGATGAAGTTTTTTATAGAAGTTTTTTATACAACTTTTTTTCAACATTGTCTGATATGATAGACTATTTATATCCAACATTTTTTTAATAACATTTTGTAGAACATTTATAACGTTTTGTCATTAAAGTTTCGATCGTAAATGGTACGACTAGAAAACAACTACAATTTTCGGTCTTGATTAGTACTGTATGCATTTTCATACACGGTCTTGCAATTTTGAAAGAACGTTAATGCCCCTACCAAATTTCAGACTTTAAAACTACACTCAATTTCGAGAGGTGAATCATTGAAATATCAATTTTTAAAACAACATGTGGAAGTGCATGTACTTTTAAACATTATTTATTGAAAGTAGCCAAAAACTGCACACTTACACTTCAACGCTTTCGAATGACACAATAAAAAATACATATTAACGCACAAATCATTATAAGATTTGGCTGAGAAAGTTAATATCTACAATCGTGTTATGGTTGCTGTGCCTCATTTTTCGTATTATAGCATTTTTATCAGGTGATAAAACAAGCAAAGTGAAGATGGAAAGGAAACGGCGCTTTACTACTCCTATTACTTTTACAATTCTATTAATTTATAATGTATTGAATTTGAATGTGAATTTGAAGGAACTGTTTAGGAGGAAACCAATTACAACAAATTTATTTGGGTTAAAAATATTGATTATTTTATGATAAAATAGTATTTTCACACTAGTGACAGCTGACTTTACTTGGAAAACGATAATTAATGATTTTAACCCATCAAGTCCGGGACAGACACATTTTTGATACTTTTTTGAACCGTTGTACTTTTGCGGAAAATGGTGTCTGGAGAACTGGCGAGTAAGCTTATTCTACGCAAAATTTAATGAACTTTCCGAATCCGGTGTCAGTTTTTTGATATCATAAACAGGTCAAAAGTTATAGATGGTTTTATAAAAAAAAAACGTGATTTCGAAAAGAAAATTTTTCTTCTTTTCGAATTTTCACATGAAAATCTTATAAATCCTGACGTCTTTGGTACAAATAAAGCATCCATGGGTCCTTATTTTAAAGTTATGATGGTTCCTATTAGTGAAATATGATTTTAAGTACAAAAAATGGCGACTAGAACATAAAAATATATAAGAAAATTTTTGGAATTTTTAATTAAAAACGATGGATTTGAGGAAAAAAATTTACTGACGAATGAATTCTTTGATAAATTCACGTTTTTTTAATAAAACCATCCATAACTTTTGACCAGTTTATGATATCGAAAATCTGACACCGGATTCGGAAAGTTCGTTGAATTTTGCGTAGAATAATCTTACTCGCTAGTTCTTCAGACACCATTTTTAGCAAAAGTACAACGGTTCAAAAAAGTATCAAAAATGTGTCTGTCCCGGACTTGATGGGTTAACTGCAACTTTCTTTGCAACAATCATTAAAATTTAATGCACTAGAACAATGAATGAAAAAAATTGATTCTATATGTTTGTGAAATGAACCAATAGCATACGACTATATGTATCTAGCCGGCGATATTTGCCTAACTTTTCTTACAGAAGCAGAGAGCCAAGTGCTGTCGCTGTTTGAGCGCGTGCCAATTATTTTGCGGCAGTTTGTGCGCACGGTTTGGTTCGATCGTAGTTGACTCGGCATCCTAAAAGTTGTAGGTTTGTTTCTGTTTTTTTACTCTTTCTCTCTTCTTCTCTCTCTTTCTCTTTCTTTTTCGTTATTCCTCTTTATTTCTCAAAGCGTCAACGTAATTTCCACATTGGGCGCGTTCGCGGATGCATGTAAGATTTCGGTTTAGGCGAATCAACGACTTAATCATCGATGCTGCATAAATCAAAAAGGTAAGAAAAATAAGAAGGGAGCTGCTGTTGCCACATTTAGTTGCTGTATGTAGTATGTAAACTCCTTTATATATAAATGGAGCATTAAATCATCGAGCACAGTACGAGAACTCGGAGCCGGGACTGTTGGAGTAATATTGCAACACCCACCCACACGTGCGAGTTTTCATTTGGCGCTATTCAAGGCGAGAGGATTTCGGCAAATTATTAATAACTGCAAATTTTCGGCAAATCTTACGTGTAGTGTGGGGGCTTACAGGCGATATGAGCGTCGCGGGGTCCTTGTACCTCTCTGCCCCTGCGTCACGTGGAAGCCGACGAGTCGAGCCGCTGCTGCTTCTATATAGGGTTTCCGAATAAGAATAATGAGAGAAGCGCATAAATTACGCAGTAGCAGCAGCGGCTCCTAATGAATTCGCCGACGCCGACGCAGCGCCAAGCCTTGTAGACGAGAAATGATAAAGGGTGGGTATATATGGCAGCGGCGCACGCATTATACTAACCCCTCTTTCGGATATGGAGACCCAACCCAAAATCCCATCTCCTCTTTGGCTTTCTTATATAAATGCGTGCGTGTGTATATGTACAGCGGCACCGGCAGCAGAAACAGCGAGCGAACAAAGGAAGAAGAAAAGTCCTATATCACGAGCTGCTGGCCTGCACTACGCGTACGCCGCTCGCCGCAGCCCACGTATAATACTTTTGCGCTTTATATTAGATTGTATTCCCTAATGACTTTGATACGCCTGCACGCGTCTTCCCCTTGGCTACGCGCTGCTGCGCCAAGTCGCGATGTGTTCTTTCGGCCCGACAATTGCCTCGATTCTTTTTCGCAGCGAGCCCCGAAATCGAGTTCTGCCGCGCGCTCAGAGTATCGTTCGCTGCTTTGTTTACGAACAGCAAAGTTTTTGTTCTTCCTTGCGCTAATAATCATAATTGCGCGCGAAGAGTCAGCCAGTTACCAGTACGCGATACAGCAGCGGGGCTCTCGAACATTGAGAATGTCTGCCTCTCTATACAGTGATCAGTGTATGTGTGTTGCTGTTGAGAGTGGCAGCGAGCAAATCATTAGACATTGTTTCCTTGACGAGTGTATAGTGCAGCAAGTTTCGAGTAGTTTTCGTAAACATCACAGATGAGTGAACCATTTAGGCATGCTACTGCTCAGTGCCTCGCTGCTTCAACCTATACAGGCTTGTGTTCGTCTGTGCGATGCCTAGCCTATAGTGCAGTCCCGACTGCGCGTGATATGGCTCTCTCTCTCTCTCTCTCTCTGTGAGCTCGCTCGCGTTGATAGACGTATACAGTCGTAAAGCGAGAAAAGTGGGTCGCCCGCCGTTACCGCCACTGCTGCTGTTGCTACTGCTCAACTCCTCTCTGTTCCCCCCTTGAGTGCAAATTCAAGTTGTGCTCCGAGGCTCTATGTACATAGAACTAATAAAGTAAGTTTTGAGATAGGGCAGAGAGACAGAGAGAGAGAGAGAGAGAGAGAGAGAGAGAAGCAGAGTCGTGTGTGCATATGCTTCGGAGAGAAATTTCGCTTTTAAAAATAACACATAACAACGAAGGAGGGACGCCAAATTCGCGACACCACTATACCTCGTGCGCTATCTCTTCATTCGAAATGGCCAGACGTGATAAATTGGATGAGTGAGACGCGACATTCAAGCTTTTATCCCCCGAAAATGAGATAGAGAAAGAGAGAGAGAGACGAAGGATAAAGTAAATAAGGAGCCGAAAAAAAAGTTGCAAAGGGAGGCAAAGAAAACATAATAGGTAGGAAATGAGTAGACGAAAAGTAGCATGATAGAAGGAGCAGCAGCGGCACAGCCACCGCGCACAGACCAATCAATTTTATTTAGCACAGCATAGAGCATATACACGAAACCGACACGAAAGCCACAAGCACGTGTGTATCGAGGCACAAATTGCATAACACGCCGTGTATACAAGAGTCGCACAAATCTCTCGACTATAAGTGGTTCATATGTATATATTTGAAAGAACGGACAGATAGACAGGCGGGATAAGGTGTGCGCGCGAGCGAGTCGAACGAGGCTAGTTTAGGCCAGTCCACGCGCGCCCGCTGACCGCTCATATATGTATAATTCCTAAGTATACGTATGGGTAGGGGCTATTTCGACTGGACGACTCCTCTAAGGAATCCTTTTGGCCTGTTGCGAGCTGCGAGCTCGGAGCCGTGCAGATGGTCCAACAAGAGTGAAACATCAAAAAGCCCCACCTCCGGTTTATGTTTTCGGTTCGCGTTAATTGAGGCCTCCGGGGATCGGCGTGCAAGCGGCCAACAAATAGCCAGCCAGCGCAGCAGCAGCAGCAGCAGCAGCAGCAGCAGTCGCTGCGCAGATTTCTTCGTAAAGAAGGCCGAGAAGAAGAGAAAAAAAAAAGCAAGGAGCAAAAGTCGGAGATAAAGAAAGAGAGAAGGAAGGAAGAGAGAAAAAAAGAGAAGCGTGCTTCGGTCAAGTGGTAGATCGGCGAGTACTTTTGAGCTAGTCGCTGGAGCAGCAAGAGTCGTCGCTGGTACGCATCTCTCGGATGACGCAAGCCAGGCCAGGTGGATTGGCCTGGGCCAGCCTGTACCTGCCGTTGGCCAAGCGCTCGATCTTGCGAAAGGCGATGCCGGCCCGGAGAACTTGCTCGACGCTCCAAGCGGCCCGCGTCTCCGTGGTGCGCATTCGGTCGCGCACGTAGCGCACGAGCTCGTCGAAGCTCGCGCCCGCGTCCCGATGGGCGCCCGTCGTCGTGGCCGCTGGAATTCCGGCCTCTGGTCGGCCGTTCCGAGGTGGCATCGAGGATGGAAATCGTCGCCTCGGTCGATCGCCTCCCGGCCTCTTCATGACCGCCCGAACGAGCTCGGCTTCGGCAATCGGCAGCCTGTACAGAAGAGAGAGAGAGAGAACAGTCAGACAGTCGGACAGGGCGAGGAAGAAGTGGAAGAAGATAAAGTTATAATTTTGCCGCTGTGCCGCCAGCTCCGTGATTGCCACTTTCTGCGGCCAGGCAGGCAGTCGCTGGCGTTTATAACAAATGGCAGTAGCGAGGCAGAAAGCGGCGGCGAAGCGCAGCTGGAAGCTACGGGCCCTAATTGGATCACGCACGTACATATCCTACGTATATAGCATGTATATATATCCTGTGCCAGCGACTGTCTGCCTACCTATGTGCGCTATGTGCGCAACTACTATGCGTTTCGTGTCGCACTCCTGACGCTCTTTTTTGCTCCTACGCTCGCGAGAAGCGCGTACAGCAGCAGTGACGGCGGCGACGCTGTATGGTAGTGCCTCGCCTTCGAGTGGGGTATATGCCGAGGACAGTGAGAAAGAGTAGGAGAGAGAGAGAGACAGAAGAAACCGAGAAGCAGAGTCGTAGATTAACGTGGTAATTGAGACACGGCAAGAAATTCGCCATTACTGTTGTTGCCGCCACCGCCGTGCCATGTAGCCGGCGAAGCCCAAGCCTTTCCAAGAAGACGCACCGAGCAAAGTTGCTGCCGCTGACGCTGTTGGCCCAAATGTACGCGGACGTTTCCTAGGCGGCGCGACCGAGAACGAGCGAGCCAGTTCAGCGTGCAAGCATTTTATTTTATATATATACGATGCAATATCTCCCACGAGCCGAAGAGCGAACGAGAACCAAAAGACGAGTCGAAGAAGGCTCCGGAGGCGAGGAGAGAAAGAGACACGAGCTATATAAAGGAGGACACCGAGGGGAGCAACAGGACAAGAACTAAAGAGAAGAGCTAATTTTTCGCGCTAGGAATGATCGGCACGTCGAGTTTCTGCGAATTTTTTCAGCTCGCTATCTATCTTTTTCATTCGATACCTGTATATAGCTCGCGCGTTTTGTACATATAGCCGGACTATACGTGCAGCCGCCGTAGCAAATTTTAACTCGAGTACGGAAAACGAAGCCTCGTGCAACAGCCGTATGTAGTCGCAGCCACAGCCAGCGCGTTATTGAACTTTTCGATGATGAAGATCTTGCCGACGCTTCTGCACTTTATTCCCCCTTAGCCTCTCTTTCTCGCTCGCATTTTTCTTCGCTCTCTTTCTGGCTCGCATGGGTTCGATGAGCCGCGCAAGATTGCGTGAGATGAAGAGAGAGAAAAAGGCGTTGCGTGTGTTTTCAGGATTCTTTGGCGCGAGCGAACGAGTCGAGCCGAGCGATCGCTTGATGGAGACGTACGAGGACTCGTTAAATTTCGCGCGAACGAGCGCGAGAAAAAGTCGATAGGGGAGCAGCAGCGCAGTAGAGCCTGGCAGGCACTGCACTTATGTGCCATCATCATCGCCATCGTCATCATCATCATCATCATCTCTGACCACGGCGAAGCTACACGAGCACGATGAGCCGAGCGAGGGCCTTCAACCGCGATGAGTGTCAAAAAATAAGGGCTATTTTCCCCGTCGCTCATCCCGTGCCGCTTCGCATTCGCTTATATTCGCGTTAATTTGAATTTACCGATTTTTTGCCCGTATATGTGCTGGAGAGGAGGATTAATTGCCGTTTCGGTGTGAATGTCTGTGTGCCTGTGTGTGTGTGTGTGTGTGTGTGTCACTTTTTTGCCGCGTTAACGCCCTTGATCCACGCGCTGGCGATGTGCATACGTCGAGTGGCTGCCGCTTCTGCTTTTTGCTCGTTATAAATCACGCGTGCAAATATTAGAGCATCATCGGAATAAAAGCTTTCGATGAAATTACTCGTTCAGTACACGTTACATAATACGTGCCTTTAAGCCGTCGACGCTTGATTAACTAGATCCATCGAAGGAAAAAAAGCTCTAATACAAGCGGCGCGACGATAAGAATCGAAGGCGATATTTCAAGCTGTAAACGAACGTACAGTGACTCGTAGTATACATGTATTTGCACAACTGTAGATGCATAAAGGTGTGCTCGATTAAGCGCCAACGCGTCGGGGTGCCGAGCGCCCGATATTTGTTCTATTTTGCCAGCAGCCACCCACACTACTCACGGAAATGGTCAATTTCAATTTGAACAAGCCTCGCGCGCGTTTTGGACGATTAAACCGAATGAAGGTGGAAATTGTAATATTTAAACGAGCAGAGTGAGAGCGATTTTTCGAGCTGAGCGCGCGAGAGCCGCTAGCTCTTGCGACGATTTACGCGGGCAAAATAGCGCGTGAAATTTCAACGCTAAGTAGCGCGCTAATTCGAGTGTCACATCAAAGGCTGGCTGTATCCAAAATTTATCGTTGCTTTCCGGTGACGTGTGGAAGGTACAAGAAGAAGACGAGCAAGAAAAATACAGAGGGAGAAAAGGAAACAAGACTGGAAACGAAGAAACCAGTGAGTCGGAATTTCAAAGCCTCCACATCATGGACACTTTTGTGAGTAATACCGTCGATTCGGCGTTGAATTTACCAGTGCATCTTTTTTACGCCGTGGGTGCCTTGTTACATACAGACAAGTACGGCGCACTTTACCGATGAGCTACGATCATTTCCCCACGTGCCCCGGGTCGCGTCGATACGCACACACACTTGATGTTTCGTCTCTCTGTTTCGTGTTGTGCACGCGCACGCAAACCCGAACAAGAATAAAAAAAAAAAAAAGAAATGCAAAAAAGTCAAGTTTCTGACTACGAGTATACATCCATGCACGGATTTCTCGATAAATGTCTCGTGCGCTCGTTTCCAAGGCTTTATGACACGTGTTTACACGCGATCGCTACGCGTCGGGATCGAAAAAATGACGCGCGCTTCGTGTTGCCGAAAAGCCAACTCCTTTGAGCCGCGTCTCTCTGCGAATTGCCCTGTACATTTACGCAGCATGCAGATAGCAGTTGTGTATGCAGAATCGCAACGTTTCTCAAATTCTAATTCCACTATTGATATTTATTTACAGAGAGAGGGAGACGGGGAGAGGATAAGCGAGGCCAAGGACCGTTAGGAGGATTCTCACAAACGACTAAATATTTGGATTTCGCTGCTGCAAAAGCGAGAGAGAGAAAGAGAGACTTGATATTAATAAACCTTCCCTGCATCATACGCAGAGAACATTTATTTTCAGAGAAATACTGCAGCTTTACTCGGCGAGAGAAAGTTTTATAGCAGCAAGAAAAAATGTTTATGCCTATGGGTTCGTGTGTGCGCGCAGTGCAAGGAGCGAATAACAGTCAGCAGGCAGCAGCATGATATACCTGTACAAACATTCAAGTTTACGTAAGAAATGTTTATTTTATCAAAGCCGCGGCGCGCGAGTTATGCGTATTTCGTTCTCTATATCTCTGGGATGCACCCAGAGCTTGCGCGTCGCGAGGCAGTTGCGTGGCGCAGTACAGCCGCCGTTATACATAGCCTTCGTCGTCTCCGTCGTAGAGGGTTACTAAAATATCTCGTGACGTCGCTGCAACTGACTGTCGAGCAGAGGCCCTAAGCGTGTCGTCGCGACGCTATATAGGTACGCTGTTTTTAAAATAAAGTATCCGAATTGCTTCTCGTCGTCGCATAGCAGCGACTCGGCTGTGTATACGGCCATTCTCCCAGTGCGAACGATGTACATACGACGGCCCGTGCAATAGTGACCCGAATTCAGCAGCCGCCGTGAAGCTGGCCAGCGGACCGCCAGAAGTTGCTCAACCTACGACTATTCTCTTATTATTACATGCTAGATGTACGTTCTCTCGGAAAGGCCAATTGTTTCTTTTCTTTCGGTCTATCCTGTGCAGTATACACACTGCCTCGTCGTGTGCCAGTGCACAGCAGTCGGCACATAGGAACGAGCGCGCGAATTTCGCGCAAAACGGATGTAACGCATGACTATCTCGCCCGTGTGTATTCCAAGCCCTTTATTATCTTCTTTTTTTATTTGTCTTTATATACAGAGTAAGAGAGAGAGAGAGAAAGGACTTGGTTTATGTACACAAGTTTTTTGGAACCGGCTGTGCCTGTGCTGCCGCCGCCGCCGCCACCAGCCGGCCGCGTTGGCAAACGGCGCGAGCAAAACTGTCTCTCTCTCTCTTTCCTTCTCTCTGCCTCTACTTGCGAGCCCCGCTGCAGTTTAGCTTTTTGGATTATTATTCGGCCATCCGTTTCCGGCGCAGTTATTCGGAAAATTATGATTACTTACTTATTCGACTATCCGAGCGCATGGAATATTGCGCAGGCTATGGCGCATTATATTCAGATAGATACGTGCGATATTGTTTTGCATTTCTTTTTTTTTTCAAACGCGTACTCGCGCTACGTAGTAGAACTAAAAGCACCGACAGAGGCATTGAATCGTATTTTATGGCCCGTGCATATTCGATGTAGTCCGTGCGTATTTTCTCGGCGGCGTATAAAGCCTCGAAGCGGTGAATCGGTGTTGCTGAGTATGTATATAAAGTCGGAGTTTATGTACGTATTCGCAGTTCGGAGCCAAAGTTTAGTTTTCGTCAAATAGCCGCTCGGCGAGTCATCCGCTTTCGATGTTATCCTCATTTATAAGCCGGTCGCTCGCGACTCGGCTGCACGGGATTGTTGCATGCATGATTCAAGCTGCGGCGATGTATCGAAAAAGCCATCGAGCGAGCGAAGAACGAAGGTGAAGGAGAAGCAAGCAAAGGGTCTGGCCAGAGAGAGAGAGAGAGAGAGAAAAAGAGCACTGCCAGCAGTCTGGCGTGAAACCTTTCCTCGTGATATGAAATATGCATAACAGCAACGACGACGAATGTATATAGTGCTGTATACGACAACGAAGCCCACGCGTGGCCACGACGACGACGACGACCCCCAAAGCCAAATAAATATCGAGCAGCAGGCACCGCACGCATTATGTATTATATCCTATATATAGGTAGACGCACACACACCTCGCGATCGTAAAAACGAGAAA